CTAAATATACAGAAATGATAAATGCTGAGTGTTATGTCTGAAACGATGAAAAATATCAAAAACTGAATACATGTTTCAATAATTAAATGATACAACAGATCTGTCTATGTCAATGATGTGTCTGAAACATCTTCTATCAAAAATTTTTTTTTTTCGCATGAAGACCTGTAGTCCATTGATAAGTTACTTCATCACCCAACACCACATATTCACACAGGCATTAATGTTTTATTTCACGACGATCATTGAATATTTGATACACAGTAATTCTTAAAAATAAATAGTGACTAACGATATTTGCAACAAAGACTGAAAGAGGATATTGTAAAATGTACCGGTAGCCATTTGCCCGCTGCTTTTCGGATACTCGCAGTTACAATTACCAGCGATGCACACAGTGTTGTTCCGACTAAGCAGACCTTCCGTCGACTCGAGCCTGTTCCTCGTATAAATAATCTCCGTGGGCAAACGATTATTCGTGCTGACGATATTGTTGGAGGAAAGCCTCAGAGAGCTTTTCCCATCCGCGCAGGTACCGTTAATCTTAATGCTGTCCGTGGCGACCACGTTCGCACTGGAATTGGAGAAGACGCAATTCTCCATGTACACAACGTCACCCTCGATTAACACGTAACCGGGTTTCTTTAACCGGAAGTTAGAACGGAACATCTCCACCGTCGAGAAGTAAACGAAATTCAGCGAACCTTCCACGTTCTGCAATTCAGTGTTTCTGATGCGCAGAGTCTCCCCTTTCTCCGAGAAGTTCAGCTCGTCGATACGGTCAATTGTCACGTTGATCATAGTGAAATCGTTTATGGATATGTCAGTGAATCGTTCCTTGAAGTCACCGATCCTCGTGTCCTCGATTCGAACCGTCTCGATGCTCCTCAGACTGACAAACGTGTCGTGAGTGATCAACGGTATACGACGTAGTCTCTTCATTTTCGTGGTGGTTAAGAATAATTCGAAGATCAGACGTTCGCTGATGTTCTGCACGACGATCTCCGCGATTTGGCTCGCTTCCGTCAAGCTGGAGAAATGGAGGTTCGCGAAGCTGCAAGAAGCGATTCGTAAACTCGTCACGTTCTCGTAATTGTACCAATCCGGCAGGGAGAATTCCTAGAAAAGAGAGGATTCACCACGATACGTTTACGAATTATCTTTATTAAATCAGAGTCGAACGTTAGATTCACCTCGTCTCCGATACAATGGCAACTAATCGCGTTCGTTCCATGAATCTTACACTGTTCGCTGATGCCCCTTGCTGACGACAAAAGGAACAGCGCGCAACATGTCATCACTGGCACCGTTTTCATCTTACCCAGTTCCTATCACTGATTCCCCACCGGAGATCTTTATAAACCCTGCTTGACACTCGTATCCACAAACGCCGTCGCTCTTCACGTGATGGTCACTCAAGTGAAACACGAAACAAAAATGGTAAAATGTTCTCTGTATGTATAAATGCTTACGTGGCATCGGTAAGGGAAAGAACAACGTGCCCGTTACCGCGGAGACTGAACGCCGAATAATAAAGATTGCTCGGATTAAGATGGACACATGTTTCGCGTCGGTTTTATAATGAGTGACATACGCGTATGCCCGGTTGTATCTCGTAACGCGTTCCACTTGCTGAGCCCAACGTGGGGTAACACGCCTGAATAAATTCGATACTTTACACTTTGTGTACCTATATGCTCGCATTTACCCATATAATCGCACTCTCTGCACACAGTTTCGTACCGGAAAGGCGTGCTACGAGATCGTCACCGGTCCGTTCGATTCCACTCACGAGACTTATCCTAATATTTATTCGCACTTGTACTTTTTTCGTTTCTTAATCGTATTGAGCATAAATGTGTCCAGGGTAAAAAATTTATATCTTAGACTTATCAAATAAAAAAAAAATTACACCTTGAAAAATGTATCTTCAAATAAAAATACAGTAGAGTCACGTTAAATGCGAAGAGCTGTAGATTGATATGTATACCTGAGTTCCCGAGAGTCTAGGAGCGTTTCGCGTAGCTTGGAAAGTGGTGGGGGTCGCAGTGAACCGTCTTCACAAGGGTTCAGTATACACGGTAAAGCATTGAGATGCCCAGAACGATCAAAAACTGTACTGTGCCCGCTCCTAGACTCGGGAACTCAGGTATAATCTAATATGCAGTGTTCGTCCAAGTTAATACGAAGTCAACAATACAATTTTTTTATTCGATCATGTACAGGGTTAACCCCAGAAAAAGTGTTAGAGCCAAAAGATGGTGATTTTATATGTGTTTCTGAACAACAATTTCCTTTGGCAAAATGCAGAGTGAGGCATGGTTTTTGAATTATTAACGGAAAACACTGACCAATGAGAGGACGCGTAGGGCCCGCGCTCAGCGACGGGAGGCAGCCAGGGATCTCAGAATTTATCCCTCGGCCGGAAAGTGGGGACGATGCGACCATGGTGGGGACTGGTACTTGATGGGTTCGCTTCACGAAGGTGCATGAGGAGAATAATAGTGGGGATCGAAATACGGGCGAAAAAGAGGGGAAGCGAGCCGTGCGGGATAAATTCTGAGATCTCTGGAGGCAGCCAGGGCTCGAGACGCTCGGCCGTAGCTACGCGTGCTTTCATTGGTCAGTTATACAGAAACGCCTCTAGAATTACCCTGACACTCTTCCCGAGATACCCTGAACTATTTTTTATATAGATTTATTGTTGAATTAGTATTAATTGGATTAATATAACTTTTTCTGGCTATTTTTATCAGTTGCTCTTCCTGAGATAAGACCGTGGCTCCGCATTGTTACGATCGAAAGTTCAGTTTTCGTATTTAAGCGGTTTTACTGTAGAACAAAATGTGACGATGAATAACATGAGGTAGTTTTTGATCGATCTCGATGTTTCTCCAAATTATATCTTCTTATTACTAGATTAAAATGAAATGCACACGTTCTCACACAGACACACACACATGCGATATTTTCTTCATGATCTCCTGTGAAAGACTGTTCTAATAGCTTCCTTCCTTTCTGAAGAAGCGAGAGCTAATGGAGTCTTCCCTTGGCGATTCTGTAGATTTGTTTGAGATCCAGCGTGAATCAAAAGGCTGCAGACTTCCATTTGTTTCTCCAAAGGTACGTTCGAATTAGATGTCGCTACATGCAGCGGTGTATTGAGACAGTAATTGGTCGCGTTCACCAAACTCACGGTACAAGCGTCCAGTAATAACTAATTGATTTGTAAAAAAAAAAATGAATAATCATTACCACAGCTTACTTTAATACCTAGCCATGCTGAGAATAAAATAGCAACATGAGTCCGGATTTCCTAACCTTACCGGTTATAAATAACCGATAACCCAACCCAGGCATGGGCAATTCATTTTTCCCCACACTAATCGCTCTCCCAACTATTCGTAAATGTATATACTCGCCTCTACATTACATAACGTCAAGTAACCTCACCTTAGCTCGCGCTCAAGGCCATGTCTTTTGAGAGACACTTTTACCTGTGCCTGACCTAACTTAACCTAACCATAGTTGACTGTGCTTACCGATAAACCAGCCTAACCTAACCTAACCGTAGTTGACTGTGGCTGCACGGAAAGTCGGCTGGGCTGCACTACGTTTACACTAAAACCGGATTCCCGCGGTGTTGCCATTTTATTCTCAGTATGGCTAGGTATTAAAGTAGACTGCGTCAATACTTGTATGCAGGTGTATAAAGGAGATACCTTAACAATGGTAGGATCACAGCCTAAAGAGACAGCCTTATGTAAAGCATTGTCTCCGGATTTTGTCTCGTTGATAGTGGGATCAGCTCCGTACTTTAAAAGCAGTCTCACGACCTCCACTGACGTGACTCCTTTCGTTACCGGGTTGTGCGATTCGATCGCAACGTGAAGTGCCGTCTTTCCTGCAAAACCCAAAACGTAACGTGAAAACGTTGTTTCATGAAATTGTATTTATCGAAACTGACCATCGTAGTTTTGTTTTGTCAAATCGAACACACAGTTCCCTTGGACCGTGGTTAACGCCAGCAGTTCTGCTAAGATTTCCTTGTGAGAATCTCCCTGCGCCGCGATCGAATGTATCAGCGTGTCGCCCTGTAGAAGACGTTGTTGAGAAAATATATTGCTTGCAGGCAATTTAAAAAAAAAAAAATGATGATTTACCCGTCTGCGGTACAACCGCTGACTGACATCGATCCCTTTTTCTATCATCGTAGCTGCTAAGTAGCCAGCGACGAATGGTAACTGTGGGCAATTGAGCGCGGCCAGGTAGAGCGCATCCTCGTCGTGATTGTTAACGATCTCTAAGGCCTTTGGAATCGTGCTCAAACGATCTACGAACGGTATCAGATAAGCTAATTTGTGGTAGAGCTCGTCTGGATTGCCAACGAGGCACATCAGCATTCTGTTAAAATAAATGAAATCTCACTCGATCTGTACTTAACACTAGAAAGACTGAAACTTAGTATATACCTATATTGCCCAAA